ACACATTGGGGGCACTCCCAGAGAGAGAGAAGAAAAACCAGAAACGCCTATTTTCCCGTAAATAGTGCAGATATTGGGGGACACCCAAATATGAATTCCTCTCAGAGGTAATGATCATGTGGTTTGAGCTTCAAATACTATAGATTTTACTTTTGGAGAAAAAAAGAGGAAGGGCGAGGGTAAGAACCCAAACAAAGGGGAGGGGGGATTTACACAGCTTGAGGAACTTCCTGCACGAGGTTCAGGGGGACGGGAAAACGGCGGGAAACAGAAAATGAATGATGGAATTGTGAAACAAATGCAAGGAGCAGAGGAGGGGTTTTTGTACCCAAAGGGGCAATAGAAATAATGAAAGGCCAAACAAGCCCATGGTTCCCAGAGGGGTAGAGGGGCCCAAAAAATTAAAAATGGCTAGAGAATGGAAAAAGTATAGGAAGAAAAGAACCCAGAAGAAAGGGGAGAATGAAGAGCCAGAAAGAATATGCACATGTCAGGAGGGGGGCCCCCAACGACAATTAAAAAAAATGCCCTAGTAGAAAAACCCAAAAGCCCAAATCAGAGTTGTTGTACAGTCACTCAGGAAAAAAAAAAAACAGTCAAAAACAAGAAATAGGCTGGGGAAAGAAGGAGGCGAGATCCAAGAATTCCGAGAGTATGTGGGACTAAACATGGATTTTAAGAAGTATTAAAGTGGAGACAAAAAAAGGACCCCAAAAACACGGGGGGGTGGGGTATAACACCTGTGCTAGAAACAATACATATAAAAAAGGAAGAGATGGGGGCTGCTAATGAACTAAAACCCCAAAGGGATGGGGGGGATAACATCTTAGGGGGGTCTGAGGAGGGGCAGAGGTGCTCTGTTACCATTAACAAAATCTTCAAACTCTATTGAAACAGGGGGGGTTCCCCGGGTATGGAAGACAACAATGTAGTCCCAATTTTTTTTAAAAAGGGGACAGACACGAAGTTTTAAATACAACCAGTGTCATGACAGTTGTATGCCATGTAGAAGATTATCGAAGATGGTGGGGCTCTAGCAAGAAATGGCTTATAACGACAAACCAACACGACTAGGGGGGGGAAATCCGTGTACAAAACCCCACCGGGGTTCTTTGCAGGAGAGAGATGGGTGGGGAGATTGATTTTCTTGTACTGTAAGAGGCTTTTGACACAGTTTCTACAACAAATTACTGCAACAGCTGGGGGACCCGGAGGGATAAAAGGGAAGGCCTGCAATGGGTCAGAGAACATTGACAGGAAGGCGAACGGTCTGGTACGGACGAGGGGGGTCGGGGTGGGGCCTGTGGAGGGAGTTCCAAGGGGTAGTCCCCAGGGCCGGGGCTGTTTTTGGGATAGTGAAAAGATAGACGTAAGGGTAGACTCAGAAGTGTTTTTTTTTTCACAAAGATGTGAAGTTAAAGAGGAGAATTTAAACGGAAGAGGCCAGGCAGGGCTACAAAAGATCTGGAACGGGCCAGGGCCCGGTCCAGAAACGGCTTTGGGTTCAGCCCCCCCAAATGCATGTATAAAGACTGGGGAAGGGCAAAGAAGACCGCAGATGGATGCAGTCAGGGGCCAGAGATACAAACCTCCCCAAAGGAAAAGGTTTTTGGGGGGGAGATTTTAAATCCCGAGCACATTTTTTGGCGCCATAACCAAAAACCCGGCCATATGGCGCGAAAAAACCCTTTATAAATATCATTGGGCATCTCAAAAAAGAATGTTAGGAAACTGTACACCGTGTAGTTAGGCCCGTATTGGAGTATGCAGCTCGTTTTGGAACCCACACCTACCCAAAGAACGTAAGGAAATTAAAAAAAAAGTGCAAAAAGTTTGCAACGAAACTAACCCCCGGGCAAAAGGGGGTGCCCTACGAGGAGGGTTAAAGGGGTAAACGCCCCTGACGCAGGGGGACAGGAGAGATGGGGGGGGATAGAAAATTGGTTTAAAAAAATTAGAGGAACGAAAATGTGGACGACACAGGATTTTCCAGGAGGAACACAGCCCCAGGGGTCAAAATTTGGAAGCTGAAATAATGAATCGCGGGTTGTTAGGAAGTTTTTCTTTATCGAGAGTTGTAGGAAGTGGAATAGTCGGGGAAAGTAGTAGGGGGAAAGGACCCCTGCATATTTTAAAGATAGGTTTTAAGATAAAGAAATGGAGCAGTGAGAGTGACCTGTGCACCAGTAAAGAGGCGGGGCCAGGAACTGTGAATCGACCTCTGAAACCACAACTAGGGGTAGGAGCTGGGACTCGACCCCGCAACCTAAAACGGTGAGTACACTCGGTC